AATTTATAAATTAACTTCTACTAGCTACGTTAATAAAACGCTGGCGAACTGAGTCAGACTATTCTTGTCGACATAACTACGGCACACATTGTTTAAATAGACAAACAACTGTGAAGCTTCGATAAGTTTTTACATGCAGTTGTTTTTGTTGATACATTGAACAGCTTTCGGCGCTTACTTAACTTGGGTCAGTTATTTCGTTTCCACACTTGCTGGGAACTGTTTCATTCGACGGCCAAGAAATATCAATTCTAGTCTAGGGAATGTTTTTGTTTTTGTAGACCCATTGTCGGCGCGGTGAAGTAATTGTATGAAATGTACACACCCTTTTAATATGTCAAAATTATTCGCGCCAAAATTTTTAATGCGATTTAAATTCCTGCAAGCGACACAAGTCGACCACTCGCGACTTCGTCGCTCGGGTCGCGCGCTCCCTCCTTCCCCCATGGTCGACTTGTGGCAAGTCTACCCTTCTACACACTATAAGCACTTCAGAAAGTTATTGCTTTTCCTTTTTAGAAGTTAGAGCTATGTCGATACTGCCGTTTCAGGGCGGGGTCATTTTCAGGACTTTGGTCCCGGATTCAGGTTTTGGCACATATGCCATGTTGACCGCCATGGTCATTTTACCCCATAGATATCTCATATACACTAATAGCGCATCTCGGAATACAAAACTGAAGCCAAAAATCTTAGCGGTTTCCCCCATGAAAATAGGCGGCGGCCATATTGGTCGTTCCCACTCATCAATGAAAGCTATAGAAAATACTATACTTTTCGAGGCTTTTTTGCATTTGTGGATTAAAAATACCTTTTTGAGATACGTTAATTCGCCTTGAAATCGCAGCTTTTTTGGAAAAGGGTACAAGAAAAAAACATTAATTGGCGATGTTGTTGTCTTTGAATCGCATTTTAAAGCTAAAAATTTCGAATTACAACATTCGAAATTACAACATTCTTTATATAATTGAATCTGTGAATGATTCTCTGGTGAAGTATCGTCTAATATACATGTACTTACGGTTTCTGGCACCACTTTATGGATATGGAAAGTTGGTAAGTAACGCTTCGACTATCGGCGTAGGCAGTTGATACAGTTAGGGCAGTTTTCTCTCTAAATCTTTAGTAAAATGTTTGAGACAGAGTCTGCACTTTCAGTTTGGGCAGTTTTCACTCTAAATCTTTAGTAAAATGTTTGAGACAGAGTCTGCACTTTCAGCTTGGGCAGTTTCATAGTAAATCTTTACTAATATTTATCTTTCTCTGATACATTCTGTGTAATCACTCACACTGGTGCTTAAAAAGTACAAGTTTATTTAATTTCTTTCCAATTTCTTGTCCAGATAAATTCTCAGTGGTCTTTTTTCCAAGATGGTAACATTTAATCTCACAGTAACTCTTGATGATGCTCTTGGTTAACTGAATAACATGATTTTCACCAACTGGTGAGTAAAAAAGATGGTGATCTAGCTCAGTAAAAAGACTGGGTAGGGACAATGAAGCCAGAACATATGGACAATGAACAATGAAGCCAGAACAGAAGTGGGCAGACCATATAAGTGTCTGCTTTTTAAGAACAGAACAGTATGGACAATGCAACCAGAACAAAAGTGGCCAGAACATATAAGCATCTGCTTTTTGGATGACCACTTTTCTTGATGAATATTTTGTATCCACTGTTTTCATTGTACTGTATCCTTAGGGATGTTTATCATGTAATGCAAGTCTACTTTCAATCAATATAATAGCATACTGTAAAAATAAATTGCTTACTGATGAAATGTCCTCCATTTTTTTAGAAAAGTGTTACTATTGTGCATTTGATGAGTCAAATAGAAAACACCATTACACAAAGTCAAAAGCAATATTTTATTATAACAATAGAATTATTTATACAATAATGAGTGTAACTATATTTAAGATTATAAAATCTACTGTGCATCAAGCAGTTTATCTCATTGACCTTAAAATATACAATAATGCAAGAAGTAATGTGTGTCATTACAAAATAGGGTTTCCCAAAGCAGTTCTAAAATTCAAATTATCAATGACCTATACTGTTATTAATAATTACAGTAATTTGGCAGATTGATTGCTTGAATTAAAACCAAAAGGTCTAGGACTCAACAGAAAGAAATATTTCTTATCATCAAATATTAAAGATAGTTTGAAGCATTCATACAATTGAAGGTTTTAGAAAGTTTAATTATCAACTACATTTACATAAAGCAATAGCAATTACGTTATATTGCCTGCGAATATAAAGTTGCAATTATTCTTCTCTAGCTTCTAATACATTTTAATCTTGATGTGATTCCATGGAACTATAAAATAATACATGATATGTTGCATTGTATGTAATAAATATACAAATATTAAGGAGTAAGAACCATTTTTGGTGTCAATGTTTTATATATTGAATATATTGACTATTTAAGTCTATTTTTGCCATTGATAAACTGTGACTAAAATATGTTTTTCAGTGTTACTGTCTTTTACAAAAGAATATACAAGTACATTTACAATTTTGGCATGAAGCAATGGCGATAGCTCAAAATGTTATATTTGGAATTGGTGGAACTATATTTATATATAAATATGCATCAACAATGATGGTTTGTCCATAGGGTTTGTCCTATGGGCGCCCCTCATACGGGTCGACAAATATTGATATTTCGAAAAAAATAATTAGATTTTGCCTACCATTTATTCACAATATGAAGCTCCAACGATCTGGCATCATTTACAACAAGTCCCACACTTGAAAAACCAAAATTGACTGCATAAAAGAGGATTTATTATCAACTTTGTCCATTTCCGCAATACAAAATATACAAATTATCACGCTCCGTGGGAACGACCAATATGGCCGCCGCACGTAAACTGCGACTGCGATCTAGCCTGCGAGCAGGCTCTCTGGGTGAAAGAGCGCTAGCCTGCAAGGATCCCTATGATATTTATGTGCATGCGTTCAATATTTGGACGCAGAGCTCTGATTGATTGATAACTGATTCAAATGAAGTGATTGACAAGCTTCCATAAACTACACTTCCCGTTTGTAAAACCGAGCAACGCAAAGCTTCGGAATTGCGGCAATGTAGAAATAAAATGTCATGTATTTTGTATCCTTGTTGACTTTTTACTGTAAATTAATATAGTATTCATATAAAGACGAATACTAAAAGCTTGCATGCTTTATTGAGTGTCCTCGGCTTGTCTGACTTCTAGGCTAAGAAAAGACTGAACAAATTCGCAAACCGAAACCTAGGGACAAGACATTATATCGCTTCTCTTTCATGAAACAATATTGAGAATATATTATTCTGATAATATTCAGTGCATATTGTTTGTATTAAGCTTGTTTTACAGTGTTATACTGACTATTTAATATTTATAAGTATGCGGCGTTAAATGTACAGTAATTTACTCGTCACTTTGTTTACAATAATTATCACATTCATGTTTACTGTAATTCCACCTTGCAAAATTTGAACTTAACTATAAACATATTATTAAATTATGTCCAATGTCCATGGTATATCATATATGTCTATGTCTCACCAAAGCCATAAATTTCAGTAAGTTATATTTAAATTAAATTTATTACTGTACTGTATATATATATATATATATATATATATATATATATATATATATATATATATATATATATATATATATATATATATATATATTTATTGCCGATTGCAGCATAAGCAATTCCAAACAACTGAATTAGTTAGCGGGTAATATACAACTTTAAACTTACTGTGCCTACAGAAACACTTGCATATTGTAATAAAAAGTACAACTTGATATATTAAACTGTAAAACCTCGAGCCGTTTTAACTTTTATAGTATGCCCCAGTGGTGGTCTGTATACGAAACTATAAACGAAAGAATACAATATAAAAGGAGTTCAACGTTTATCGGTTTATGTTTACAATATTGAAGTGTATTTCGGTCTGCGCTGATTGGTTATTATTAATTGACCTGTGACATCCTAATCGAAGGGCGGCATGCAGTCATCATAGGGATCCTTGCAGGCTCTCTTTCACCCAGAGAGCCTGCTCGCAGGATAACTACGATCAGGCTTCAATTTTCGCCCTCCCATAGGGTGGGATGCGCTATCTAGTGTATATGAGATATCTATGTTTTACCCTAAAACAGTTGAGATTACCTGTCCTAAATGAAATGCATACAAACTCATATACAGGTCCTAGACTATGTTGGAATGAGGAAATCGACAACATCAGCAAAAATGTATCAAAGGGCATTTGTATGCTGCTCCATGCAAAGCCATTTGTTTCTTCTGAAACTCTTAAATATATTTATCAAGCTTTAGTGCAACACAGTTTTGATTACCGCTCCATGGTTTGGGGGAACTGTGGCGAAGGTTTAAAAAAGAAGCTACAGAGACTCCAAAACCGTGCAGCTAGAGTAATCACAGGTGATACATATGAAATTCGCTCCACTGATATTTTAAAGAAATTAAATTGGAAAACACTCGAAGAGAGAAGAAAGGAGCAAAAATTAGCATATGTAGCCAAAGCCCTTTCAAATCAATGTCCTGAAAACGTTTCAACTATGTTTAAAATCTCAAATTCTGATAAATGTAATTTAAGAAGTAATAATAAGATGTTGCATGATGTTGCCGAAGCCTAAAACAAATACAATAAAAAGTGCTTTCGGATATGCTGCTGCTAAAGACTGGTCAGACCAGGAACAATAATAGTAAAAATGTAAAATCTACTTAATTAATCTTTAATATATATATTTAACGTATCACTTCGACCAAAACATTTTTTACTATCTTTTTAAAATTTTTTATATAATAGTATTTCGAATTTTAATCTGTATTTATAGTAATTACAAGCAAGGGCACAGTAATTACATTTGGCCTAAATATATTGACATGATTGCTCAGTAGCCTTACTACTGATTCAACACTTCTACAACTACATACACAATACACTCATTTGCTGTACTCAGTTACAGAATTAATCATCGGAATTCGAAGAATAAGTATCGGACGGTCCACTTGTGTCTTCCTTCTCAACACACGCTGCAAATGTGTTTGCATTAATACGCATCCAATCGTTGTTACTATGATTCTTCGCACACATAGGTATAATGTATACCACACCAGGTTCGGCATAGACCTCTACATGGGCTCCATATATAGCTTTCTGGGTACAATAACTCACGCGACACAAATCAGGCCAATTACCAACTGTATCTTCATAGAGTTGCTTCCATGAACTGTAACCATGTCTCTGCCGACTAGCAGTGCACTTGATGATCCGCACTTCTGTGAACGGCGGCAATTTAACCTTGGTTGGCCTGCAAAACATGGAGAAAAAAATGAGACAAAAATAATTTATACACTGGATGTGCTCGTAATACATAGAAGTGCTCAACAAGACATCTTTCCTACCTTTGATCTAGCCTTGTAGTAACTTAGTATAAAATTGATATGAGGAAAAGGACGGCCCGGACCCCGCTTGGCTAGATCCAGGTGAGTAAGCCAAGACCATATAGCCATACACAAGCGGAATGAAACATTTTTCATATGAACTTGCCAACACGCTTATATACCGGTCAGAGGAGGTTGGACAGCAGGCCGCAAAGCACCATGGGTATTGAGCACCTAATTCCACGCGTGGCTTTCATTGACTGTTGACTGTCAAGGAGTGAACGTCTCTGACTACAAAACCAATATGGAAGCTTTCGAACGACAAGAGTGTCAGGCTGTGATATTTTGTGAAAACAGCATGTTATTGCTTTATTGTTGCGATCATCATATTTATGACTTGTGTTTTAGTCTATCAAGTTTACCTTTTTTTAAATTGCATGGGACGTGCTGTCATTTTAGCTTCTTTCTAAGTTGGATGGCGTTAAATCTCCGTGTATCATCAACGTGAAAACAAGCGCAGTATTTAAGGTTGGTATACTACAATGTATTACAGTTATCGTGTTATTTTATAGTCAAATTTCCGCTTTGTTGTTTTTATTCTTGTACTTTTAATATAAATACACTGTACAAAATAAGGCATCATACTTGTGTTTACAATGCCTCTAGTTTGACCCTATTGTGTGTGTATATGTACTGTGTCACTGTGATACATATGTACATGTTTTGAGTTAAACGAATTGTTTAATAAATTTTTGCTGAAGTATGATGCCTGTTTGTATAGATAGATTTTTACATATATGTGCATACAGTATAGTTATATTTTTCAATTTTCATCTGTAAAATAATATTTGTGTGTTCTAATATTACTGTAAATAGTGACACACTTTTGCATTAGATTGCTAATTTTAGAGATTACAGTGTATGTATAAAATAATAAAATAAAAATTTTCTTGTTATGATTTTGTAGAAAGAGATCTACTTGAGTGGTTCAGTGGTTAGCTGGTCTTGAACCTGGTCAGGATGGATATGGTAATGAAGGTGATAGGGCAGAAAGTGGTGACCAGTTAAGTGATCAGGATGAAAGTGACGAGGACGAAATCACCCATGCTGTGCCATTCAAGTGCATTGGTGCTGCTCATGAGAAACATTACCAAGATCATTTGTAACAGGCATGCCTTGCTATTCATGGACAAGATAAACCAGTGAATGTAAGAATACGGCCAATTGAGCCATTGAATCCAATGGACCCAAATGCAATAGCAATTAATGTAAACTATGGAACTGGATGGACACATGTGATGTTGGCTATATTATTTGCACCCACTAATTGCTGCATGAGATATCTTAGAGGTCTATGTTCAGCATATAAAGTATAGGGTTGACTTTTTTAAAATAGGATTTTATTCAAAAATTTTCGTAAAGCGATGTGGTGAGTGGGAGACTCAAGTGGTAAGGAGGGGCATGAGTGTATGTCGACAGATGTTTGTGATATAATAGTAACTGACTAGGTTTAGCAAGTTATAGAAATGATGTTATTTAAATTGGCTAACTTTTTAGATTTTTTCAGCATTTTTACCTTTCACTTTATTGCCAAACAAAAATCATTTAATTTAAGTAGGTGTGTATCTATAAGAAAACAATATCTGTCATGTGCACTTGTGTAACTCCCTCAAAATAGCAATATTGCTTTTTTATTGTGGCATAAATTTATTACTAGGACACCAATATGGTTCTCATTACCTATATCTAAACGTAAAAAAACATGTGCTATAAATAAATGCATCTACCTATTTCGTGACTGAATAGAATTTATTTTGTCAAGCCATGTAATTAATTTTGAAATTGCTGTGACTTTATGTAACCCTTCTGCAGGAATTGAGCCTAAACCCTAAAGCACCAACCCATCCCCAACAATAAAATTACATCTTGCTGTCAATTTCA